CCTGTGTCTGGTCCCTTATTCAGGCAACCATGCAACATGCTAATCTCTCAAAGCATGGCACCACTCTGGAGATACAAATTTAAGTTGAGGTCCACAAAGTCCAACAGCCTCCTGCAAGACTCATAGGTAACCCATTATCGGATTTCTTGTTTGGGTAGTTTTGGGGGGAAGATTGGCAACTGAAGCCTAAGGATGGTATTATACTACAGTTTCCCATTTTTCTGTTCAAATTACAACTTTAGGCAGAGGACCTGTGCTGAGTTAAAACACTATTCTGAAAGGAAACTGCCAGAGTAGGTAGGGCTAGGCTCTGGAGACCACAAAGACAGGTGCTATAGGAATGCTTGGGGGAGATTAGGGGGGATGCTTGCAAAGGACTATAACAGAGACTGCTCTGGGATTTTCCCTAGCCAGACCAAGCAAAGGGCACTAGGTATCCTGAAGGTACTTGAGGGGCCCACCTTGATTTTCCAAAGCCATCTGGTTGTAACCTGATTATAGTTTCAAGTATAAAGAGATTTGACCAGTGGGATTTGTTTTCCTGAAAGGTAGCCTGACTGTGTGTGACCTAGGACCTTGTAAGCCTGGGACTTTAGCCCAGGAACAATGAAGGTTTATTTTCACCATTGCCCCACCATCAGTTCCGCCCCTGTAAATCTCGAGCATTCTCAAAGTTGGGGAGGAGAATGAGGTCAGGTAGAAAGTCAAGTATGTAGGCATCCAGAGGAATGGGAAGCTATCAAGTTCTAAGGCCTCTACAGGTTATCATTTCATTGAATCCTCACAACATCCCCAAGACAGGTACTACTGTTATCATCTCCTTTCTAAAAGGGAGGAGTCTGAGTTAGAGAAGTAACACCTAAGCTTACTCAGCTGGTTTGTGGCAGAAGAGAGATCGGAACCACTTGGTGTTGTTCTAGAGTATGATCTTTCTGCTACAGGGTAGAGGTCCCCTGGTTGGGCCCAGGAAGTGGGAGAAGGAGGCTAATTCTCAGCACCATTCATTTTAAACAGGTAGGCTTCAGGATGCTTGAAAGCTGACTCAAGTTCCCATCCTTTCTGGAATATTGGCAAGAGTCTGACAACTCTCTGATTTCCAAGGTCATTGTTTCCCTCTTGCAATCCAGCACCGACTGGCTCTTTTCCAATCTTCAGGCACCTCATCCACCCACTGCCCTCAAAAATAACTGCTTAATGGGTCTCCAGTAACTCCACCCAACTCCTTAAGGGCTCCTGAGAGCAGATGGTCTCGGAGAGCCAAGAGAACTCATCCAACTTTTAAAAGTGATCTTTGATCATCTCTTTCCTTGCCTCCATTTTCCCATACGATCTAAGTTGACTGGTCTGCTTCACCTCACACAGAGCTCTCTCAACCAAGAACACACTTTGAGGGGCTTCCCTGGCAGCACAGTGGTTAAGAATCCGCCTGCCAATGCAGGAGACACGGGTTCGAGGCCTCGTCCGGGAAGATCCCACATACTGTGAAGCAACTAAGCCCATGCACCACAACTACTCAGCCTGCACTCTAGAGCCTGCGAGCCACAACTACTGAGCCCGCGCACCACAACTACTGAGCCTGCGTGCTGCAGCTGCAAAGGCCTGTGCGCCTAGAGCCCGTGCTCCGCAACAAGAAGCCACTGCAATGAGAAGCCTTCACACCGCAACGAAGACACAATGCAGCCAAAAAAAAAAAAAAGAATACACTTTGCGAGCAATCAGTTCTGGATATAGAGTGCAAAAGTTGGGAGGGAAGGGGGGGATATCTGAAGTCAGAAGATTCAGACACACAGCTTCAGATCAGAACTCCTTTCCTGCATTCAGCTCATGACTACTGACTTCACCTGGTTGTCATGGAAACATCAGTCTCTCCTGGTGGCAAGCAGCACTTTAGAAAGCTTCACAGGCTACCATGGTAACACCAAAAAGAGTAAAGCTGCCTCCTCTCTTCGAGCGGTGAGGAAGAAATGGACGAGAGTGCTAGGAAAAGCAAGCTAGAAGGGACAGCCTCTGGAAAGCCTGGCTCTGACTTGAACTGAGGGGAATTAATTCAACTCAACAGATATGAAATATGTGCAAACAAAACAGTAATGAATGGGCTTCCCTGGTGGCGCAGGGTTGAGAGTCCGCCTGCCGATGCAGGGGATGCGGGTTCGTGCCCCGGTCCGGGAGGATCCCACATGCCACGGAGCGGCTAGGCCCGTGAGCCATGGCCGCTGAGCCTGCGCGTCCGGAGCCTGTGCTCCGCAATGGGAGAGGCCACAACAGTGAGAGGCCCGCGTACAGCAAAAAAAAAAACCAGTAATGAAAAAGACACATCTATGACTGGCTTCATCAAGCTATAACCATCTAGTAACAGAGTTTACAAAGAACTGTAAATAAAGGCAGAATAAGACCTACATAGGACCAAGAATACTGAAAAGGAAAATCAACTTCAACTAGGAAATCATCAGTCTTAAAGGACAGGATTTTGACCAGTAGAGAGGGGCAGGAAAAGAGAACAAGACAGCAGACATGGAAGTGGAAGAATTCAGGATATAATGAGAACTATAAGTAAAGAGACAGAAAAAGTGACACTTCCCCATGACTCCAAGGCTTTGGCTTCCACAGTGATGCTGAGGCAGGTTAAGATTAAGATCAAGGGATCTGAAGCTAGACTGGACTGAAATCCCAAACTTGCTAACTGCATAATCGGGGGACAAGTTAGTTAACCTTTGGGGTATCAGTTTCCTCATTAACAAAGTAAAGATAATAAAAGAATCTACTTCAGAGGGGTCGTTGTGAGGATTAAACAATTCAATACATATAAAAATGATTAGAACAATGCCTAACCCACACCAAATCCTGCATAAATGTAAATTCTCATTAATTGTTAACCATTCCACTTTTTGGTGCCAGGATAGCCTCTTCGCACTGTCCAAGTAATACTCCCCCCCACTTTTTTTTTTCCAGTTGCAGCATGCAAGCTTCTTGGTTGCGGCATGCATGCAGGATCTAGTTCCCTGACCAGGGATCAAACCTGGGCCCCCCAGCATTGGGAGCGTGGAGTCTTACCCACTGGACCACCAGGGAAATCCCTGTCCAAGTAATACTTCCTGATTCGCACCAGACTCTTTAATAGAAAACAGGGGCTGTGACAGAATACCTCCAAGTTTTTAGCTCATTTCCCTTCCTTATAAGCACCAAGACTAAAGGTTCATAGGTCACAGCCCTGCTTCCACTGGTAGCCCACAGAGCCTAAGAAAGAAGTAGGGTGAATCCCAATGTAAAGAACACAGCAGTTTAAAGAACAGGGAGGAATGCCACTGCCTTAGAAAAGAGAGAAGTGGACGCTATAAGCCGAAAGTCAAGTGAAAAATCCCATTTAGAATTGAGGACTCGTGGGGAAATTCTAACTGCGCTGGGAACAGACCTGGGCAACAGTCTCATCTCTACTCCCACCTTAGGCACCATGCTCAGGCAGGAGGTTGAGGGAGGCTCCTTTACATTAGGCTGGGCCCAGAGGCTGTTCACTGCCCCTTCTCTCCACTCCAACCACCCTCTACGGAAGGATGAATAATAAGAAGGCACTGAGTCACACGCAGTGACACTGGCTGTTACCCACTAGACGTTGTCACCTTATGTAGGTTAAGACTAGAACAGAAGTTGTCTTTGACATTCCCTTACTTCCACCCTTGTCTCTCTCCCAGCAAAAAGCTACGCAAGGCTCTAAGAACAAGGAGCAAGGAAGAACTGAGGTGGAAGGACCCAAAATGCAGGAAGGCCAAAGCAGCTAGGGATGGGAGTATAAGGAAACTGAGCAGTGGTGGGGGCCCACCTGAGGGCAGGAAAGCAAGGCCTGGGGGTACCTACAGTTTGAAGATGTTCAAGACTGCCATGAGGAGGCCTGGCCCATAGCCTCAGGAGGATGCATAAAAATGGTCTGCACTGAGGTCAGGTTGCCTTAGCAGCTGCATCAATAACTGCAAGGGACTGGGCCTTAGCCAGCTGCTCCTACCTGAAAATAACGTGGCCTCCTTCCCTTCTCCCAGGTCCAGAGAGCAAATTAGTACAGGTAAGGGGTAGGGGTGACAGTGGGTGAGACTGCAGCAGCCTGGAAGTCCCTCCAGAGTCCCAGTGGCCTTTTATGCCACAAGTAGGTTTCAGGTACTTAACACTGCAGTGTAAAGAGCAACGTCATAAGCTAACCACTAAAAAACCATCATTCTGCTTAGAAGCCTTAACTGACAAGTTAAAACCTAGCAGCAATTATCCAAATTTTTAGCATGACAATAAACTCTCAACATTCTGTTGCACAGAGACCAGTAAAGAATGGAGGAAGCTCACAGAGCCCTGTCCCTGAACTTCAGACCTTCTCCTTTTGATTGGTCCCTAGTTGGTGAGCCAGGCTCTGGACTAGCCCCTTGTTCTAAGCCTTACAAAGCAGGCAGAGGAAGGTGTGCCCTCACCTTTGGAAGGGCCATGTGTGGAATACTCAGCTCCCTGGAAATTCATCAATCGGACTCAGGCCTGTGTTATCAAAGCCATTGGAAAGAAGAGGTGGGGGGACTGAAAGGGCAAACAATGACAGACTTAAGGCCTGGGGAGCCCTGATGTATAATGCCCAAACCCCTTTGGATATTGGACTGGATGTCTACTACAAAAAGGTCCAAAGGTGGGTACAGAGCTCAACAAAGTAAGAATGGTGAGCTTAGAAGGCTTCTCTGGTACTTAAGCTCCTCAGGATCACGAAACACCCTTAGAGCAAGGTGCAGAATGTGCTACTGTCACACTGCCATCTGGTGGAAAGACAAGATCTGTCCCCAGGCAGAGAGAGGGAGCCTGGAGGTCTGTCCACTAGGCAGGGAGGTTTGGAGATAATCAAGATAAAGACAGAAGGAGACCACAGGGCATAAAGACCACGGGAGTATAAAGCAAATACAGATGGCATGTGTGCCTTTTGTCTGTTTTTCTTTCTAAAGATCAGATATTTAAAAAATTAAAATAAAGGAAAGAAAACTTAATAGCATTACAAATGTTTTATATCCCTAGAACCGTTCGTGGTTTTGGCTCAGGAGAAGTTAACGTCAGACAGACACACCACTGGACCGAGACCACACATGGGCAGCCGCCGCCACAACCGTGGGACCTGCCTTTTGTACAAAGTTTATATATATATATATTTATATTTATGTACACAGACACAAGGGTATAAAATACAGTGAGAAGGACTCACGTGTGCCCAGCTGGGCTTGAGCCCACAGTCTCCAGAGGCACATGGAAGTGGTGGAGAGAAGCAGCCTCCCCTCCATCCTCCCACCCTGGGCCAAAGGAAGGACAACTACACAAAGGAAGATGGAAGATACCAGAAAGGTACCCCACCTTTCACTGAACTCCCGAATGCCCCTAAGACATCCAAAATGGCTGGCAGGAGAGATCATTCCCACACCTCCCAGCAAGATGTTGAGCCCACAGTAGCAGTTCTGGCCCCAAGCTAAGGTTTAAGGCAGGCTTCCCAACACACATGTCTGTGCTATCTTCCAGGGCCCTTGTAGCAGCAAGCCAGCACTTTCAAGGTTCACTCCCTCAAACCCCAAAGTCCTCACAGACCAGAGGTCTTAAAGGTTTTCCGTGACAGACTGTACGGTAAAGGTGCAGGCAGGCAAAGAGCGGTTAGTTCCTTCAGTTAATGCCCTATGGCCTTCCCAATGGGGGAGGAATCAAGGAATCAGTAAGAGGTGGTTGTAAAGGGCAAGGAAGGTCATCCCAGGAGACGATAAATACAGAGAAACAGATGTTCAATTCAAGTGCAGATTCTGTTCTCTTCAACTGGCAGCTTTGCTCACCAGAGTCCATTCCCACTGCGGCTGCGGTGGGCAGGAGCTCTTCTTGGTGTCCTAGGGGGTCCCAGTTCCCCCACCGTCAATGTTCACACCCTCAGGATGGTTTGGTCCACAGAATGGAGAGAAGGGGCCATGGAAGGGTAGACGTGGAGAAGGGAGTGGCAGGACCCAGAGGCACAGGTAGGCAGTGGACTGCACCACTAATTACCTGTGGCATGGAGAAGATGTAAACGGGAAGCCGGAGGAAAGAAAGTAACTGTGAACACTGAAATGAGCTGGGCCTTGAGACTCACATGGTTTGGCGGGTAAAGAGGCTGGAAAGCTGGAAGCACTGGGAGGCGATTGCCTGGGAGGCGAGGTTCAGGGCCGGACTCAGAGCTGGAACAAAGAGAGACAAGGGAGTTAGCACAGAGCATTCCTGCCTTCCAGGCCCGACCCTTCTCTCCCTTTCCCAAGTCCAAGCCTACCAGTCAAAGCCGCTGGGTTCAGGGCCCCCAAAGGAACTGCTCCATTCAGTTGCAAGGCAGCAGCTTGGGCGGCAGCAGCGGTGGTCGGCAGCTGGATTCCAGAGCCTCAGAGGAAAAGACGAGGTGGGGTTAAGTCCTAACCCTTGATGTAAAATTCAACGCCATGTTCTTCACTCTGCAGAGAAGCCCTACCTTCTGCCAATTTGGCCATGAGCTGCAAACGTCCACACGCTGATCCCAGGTCCAGATCCTGGTCTCCATCAGGAAAAGTGATGTCTGTGCCACCATCCAGTCGCTCCGTCACATGGCCAACCCTCATAGGCCGACCAGCAAGCTCAAAGCCATTCAACTGTTCCAGGGCCCGGCGGGCACACTCAGAGTCAGAGAACTACAAGAAACCCGGGTCATATCAGGTACCTCCTGGCCACAGACATGCTCTCAAAGCCCCACTAATACTCTCTCGTCCTACTGTCCCGTGAAAATTGCATGCTCACTGTGGCTCAAACTTTTCTTTCCCAGGGAATGTGACCTAAGATCCCCATGCCTGCAAATGGTTCTCTAAAAAAGACCTTTTCCAGCTGACTCAAGGGCAATCGCTTTTCAATCTCCAGCTCCACTGAGAACCTAACAGTGCATCATTTGTAGGGAGCCCAGCCTGATAGGCCGTTTCACAAATGGGCATATCAAATGGAAGTAAGACAGGCTGAGATCCAAGGCTCCTGAGCTTTAATTTCAGCCCTCAGGACTAGTAAGTTTCAGTCCTTAGTCAAGAACAAGGAACGTGGAACTCCAGAGCCCAGGCTCAGGAAGGTGCACACCCTGGTACTGACAGCGAGACTGCACCCCCACTCCCACCCCGCCCCAGTGCGGCTGACTCTGGCCCACTGGCCAGAAGGCCTCTACTCTCTCGTCCCTTCCAGCAGCAGCACTAGCAGCAGCCTGGCATAAAGAGGATTCCCAGTCTGCTGTTTATGTGTCAAAGGTGTTGACCTAAAAGGCAGCAACACAAGGGCAAAAAGACCCCACAGAAGTCTTTCTGCATCTGAGTCACACAGGGAGCTAGAAAAGGTAATTGCCACCATGAACACCACAGCTGGCTTTATTTACTCTGGTATTACCTGTCCTAGGGCCTGGCATGTGGTACTGACAGTTCCTAGGCAGGTGGTATAGGTGGCTTGCTTTTACCAGATACTTCTGAGATGAGCAATTCCCACGGTAGAACACAACCTACCTCCCCTCTGCCCTGCAGGCAACTGGGGGGGGGGTGTATGCTGCCTAGATTGAGCCCAGAAAATATCAGCTTCTATTAGACTTTGTGGCTGGCAGCCAGTCCTAGCCTGGAGTCACATGGGGCTGGAAGAACCAGTTATGGGAATTGGAAACAATTTTGTTGGAGTGTCAGGAAAAGGTGAGACTTGCCCACTATTAGGTGGCCTTACTGTTTTCCCTATAGTGGTATTTAAATATAAATATATTTCTCAATGGGGAAACTGCTTCAAACTGGGTAGGACCAGAGAGAAGTATATACCTTCTTATTCCCATCCCATCATGAAAATATACCAATTCTATAAAGCACATCTATAAAGGCCCGTACCTAACCTCCCTCATGCCCCCAACCTCTTAGCTGCAGCCTGGAATCGTTACTATTACCCAGAGAGCAAGCTGTAGCACCAGGGAAACTGGTTGACCTCCTGGACACCCCATACCAGTGCCACTGACAGAGTGTAGGAGCAAAGCCATGATCTCAAGCAATGCACTCATCTCAAGGGACAGAAGGCTAGTCCAAGCTTCAGGCACCAGGGTTTATGGGTCATTTAGACAGTTCCTATGGGAGGAGCATGAAGCTAAGCTGCAAAATCAGACAAGTGGACAAACCTAAACTAAAATTAAAAAGTTGAAGACTAGAGACTCACCGTAATAAAACCATAACCTTTAGAGCGGCCTGTATCTGAGTCCTTCATCAGGACAATATTATCAATCTGCAGAATAGAGAAAAATAATCAATAATCTTTTGGCTAAGCCACACCTTTGATCTTTCCTACCCAAACTGTTCTATTTTTTTGGCCATGCGCAGCATGTGGCACGTGGGATCTTAGTTTCCCAACCAGGGATCGAACCTGCGCCCCCTGAAGTGGAAGCACGGAGCCTTAACCACTGGACCGCCAGGGAAGTCCCCTACCCAGATTGTTCTAAATACCTCTAACTTTCTAACCAACCCATTACAGCTCTCCAAATCATTTTAAAAATGAGATAAAGCCCATCTCTTTCCCAAACACTTTTTCTGACTCATCTTACTTCATATGGACCCCATTATTTGATTTCATGGTTGCCTAATTTGTCTCCTGAGCAGTATGAATACAGAGATGGAGCCCAACTCCTCCAGCATGGACCCACATGGCCATTGTTAAACACGCAATGGGTTAATCATGGTCAGACAGAACGAGAAGGTACACTCGCCCTCCCCACTTTTTCCGATTCCCTTCAGAGGTTTCCCTCACTTTCTACTCACTTTGCCAAAGGGCTCAAAGATGCCCCGGAGCATGTCCTCAGTGATATTGAAGTGCAGGGAGCCCACGTAGAGGCGCATTGGTCCACCACTGCCCTTCTGCAGGTTGTTGGCCATGGCTGCCAGTCGGTTTTTCTCAGCCTGTGAAAGAAGGAAATGATGGGTCATGCCCCACACCTACCACCATTATCTCCATCTTCTTATGTCCATTTCTCAGGCTGCTCACCTGTGAGGCCTGTACAATGATAGGCACTCCCAGCAGCCGCTGTCCGGTCAGCCCAATGGCAAGTGGCACAGACTGGATCTCACAGAATTCCACATAGGCAATGCCCTTAGAACGACGTGAGTTCCGATCTGAGATGATACGTACATCTCGAACCTATCCAGGGCAAAAAGGAAATCCTGAATTGGGCATAAAGGGGGATGGACAGAAGACAGGCTTCTCAGAGACAACTAAGCGGGGGAAGAGGGTTACCTTGCCAACAGCCGAGAAAAAGTCCTCCAGGTCTCGAGGCCGAATGCGGGCAGCTAACTGCATACAGAACACCGTGCGGGCATCCCGCTCCTCAGGACTCAGATTATCAACTGGCTCCCTAAAGAGTGAGCAAAATCGTCGAGACCCTCCCTCCCAGTACTTTGGTCATCATTCTTCAGCTACCCTCAAGTACTACACATTCCTGTGGTTTGGCTCAAACCGCTTTTTATTCATAACTCACAATCCCTAAAAGAGTGCTCATTGTCAACTCACCTGACTGGGCTCTTCTCCCGGAAATGAGGACTCTTACTGTGTCCATACCTACGCCTACGGAACAGAGAACAACCAAACTGAAAACCGTGTCACCCACCTTTATCCACACTGGCCCAGCGCTGGGTCTTCCACCATGAGAAAACCAGATTACAGCACCTCATCGCACATGACAATTCTGAGTATCACCCCTCCAGTAACTGGGTCTCCTGCCTACCCCAAAACACGATACAAAGGTGACCTTATAAGCAAAAGGTGATACCCAGTGGCAAGTGGTGGACTCCTGTAGCGCACACGATCCTCACGACGTCGGTCTCGACTTCGTAACTCACTACCATGTCGACGTTCCCAGCTACGGCTGCGGTGACGACGCTGCCGATCTCGACTCCGGCTCCGACTGCTTCTCCGCCTACGACGGTCTCGACTACGACTGTGGACGGCAATGACTATTAAGCTCCTTAAAGAACAATCCAACCTTTCTGGTCTTTAATGTATAGCTTTCCCTGGTATCTTTCCATTTATAATTCTCAAAACCCAAGCGGCCCCAGAATGGCTGACCTGCGTTTTCTATCCCTGCTTTTACTATGGCTCCGACTCCTCTTCTTCCTGTGAAAGAGAGCATAAACTCTTACTACTGAGGTTTCATCACCTCTCCCAAGGATAAGAAATGACACTAAAGCAAGGGTGAAACAGAAAGCAGTGAAAGACCAAAGCCTAGAAGACAATATGGCAGAAGTTCACAGCAATGGCATGACATCAGTTTACACAGAGCCCTGAATGCTGTCAGGCATCTGAAATGGCCATTTTTCCCCAAAAAACCAAGCAAAAGCTCATGTTTCCAAATCAGAGATCCTCTTGCTATTTTACTCAAGTGAAATACTACATCGACGCTAGGACTGATCCACAAGTCTATCCACAAATCTACACTGGCAAGCGAAGACTAGAAGATCATTAACCCAGGTCACCATCATTCCCATGACCCAGTGGAGCCATTACTAAAAGTCAGAAGTCTTACCAGCAACCACCTCCCTGTTCTGGCCGTTTCTATAACGGACTCAGTTGCTTCCCCTCCTCAAGCTGCCAACCCATTTTCCTCAGGCCACACTCACCTGCCTGCCTCCCCACTGGCGCTGCTCCCACTGGTGCCACTGCCACTGCTGCCGGTGCAGCTGGTGCTGTTACTAGGGCTCTCCTTTTCAACCTCGTTAGTTTGCTGCTCATCCTGAGGGGTTCGCCAGGAAAATGACACAAGGTACCAGGTGGCAGACACACAGATTCCATTGGGCAAAGAAAGAAGTGGACAAGGAAGAAAGCTCATGAAATCGAAGCTCTCAATCATCTAAACAGTTTCTAAGCACCTGGATCTCCTAACAAAAAGAATAAGAGAAGAAGGAAGGAAACGACCCAAAAAGATCAGATTTTGAAGTCAAACCTTTAGCTACCCCAACATCTGTTCCACTAACATCCATTTCCCTGGAGAGTGAGAAATGAGAGTTATGTCTGAGATACACTGATCTCCTACTGTGTCACTGAGAGCTGTGAGCAAAGCACTGGTTCCCACCGCAACTTCATGTCCCCCCCACCCCCAGTTTTTGGGGCCCTTTCTGTAAGCATGGCCCTTGAGTATCGGCCTCCAGCAGAGCTTACTAAAAGATTATGCCTTGAGCTTCCCTGGTGGCACAGTGGTTGAGAGTCCGCCTGCCCATGCAGGGGACACGGGTTCGTGCCCTGGTCCGGGAGGATCCCACATGCTGCGGAACGGCTGGGCCCGTGAGCCGTGGCCGCTGGGCCTGCGCGCCCGGAGCCTGTGCTCCACAACGGGAGAGGCCACAACAGTGAGAGGCCCGCGTACCGCAAAAAAAAAAAAAAAAAAAAAAAAAAGATTATGCCTTTTATGAAAGCCACTGCACATAATAAACAAACAGGGAAAGAAGATTTACAAAACGTTGAAACTGATGATCCACAAGTGCTTTTCCTTACCAGCCCAATTCCAAGAGTGAGATGGGGAATCTTACCTCCTCTTTTTTATAGGGAGCCTCCAGCATGGCCTCAATCACTATATCAAAGTCATCGGATGCCATTGTAGCAGATCTGAGGAGAGGACATCAATACATAAGAACCTCATTTATATTTTTCCTTCCCTTCCAGCACCCCACATTCCCTCCCCCCTCCAAGAAAGACTTCAGGATATACAGTTCTGTTTCTTGAACTCCAAAGGTACCTTACCCGCTGTTATTTACCCTATGTTTATTTTTGTACCTTACAGATCTGAACTAGTTCTGCTTTGTGGCTTAGAAAAGGTCAGGGGTCTAGAACAAAACTGAATATCTAGGTAGAGACAAAATACAATATAGACCCTGTCCTGTGAAAAGAAAATGTTGGTACTCAAAATTACTATTTATTTTACAACAGACACTTGGCCTCCATTCTACTGTTCAAAATTCTGAATAAATAATTGGTTTAAACTTAAATTGGCACATATTTCCAATATAAAGGTAAGAATGCATGACTAAAAATTAGGAGCAAGAGAAAGCAATACCAGAATAATGCAGATTAGTCCTAAGCTTTTCCCCACACCACCGCCCAACACAAATAATGAGGGGATTCATCATTAAGCATTTTCTGTACAATACCAACCAGAGTTTGGGTAACTCAGAAAGACCATGATTAAGACAGGCTTAACCAGTCCCACTTTGAAGCCTTTCTGTCTAGGAAGGTACAGTAGGACCTCTCGCCTACCCCAAGCTTTCACATCTAGCAATGGTCTTTCCCAAGTCTGTCCACCACAGGTCTATAAATAAAAAAAAACAGACGACACCAAACAAAATCAATAGGATAAATTATTCAGAAATTACTGGTCTGAAATTATCAATATACGTAACATGAATGAATCTCAAAATAATTATGCTGAGTGGAAGGAAACAGGTTAAAAAAAGCATACATACTGTATGATTTCATTTACATAAAATTCTAGAAAATGCAAACTAACCTGTAGTGACAGAAAGCAGACCAGTGGTTACCTAGGGATAAGAATAGGTGGGAAGGGGCTAGGATGAAAGGATTATAAAAGGGCATTTTGGAATTTGGGGGGTGATGGTTTCATGGGTGTTAACTCATATCAAAACACATCAAACTGTACACTTTAATGTGTACGGTTATATTTTATATCAATTATATCTTAATAAAGCTGAAAAAAAAACTAATCTAAATACTTTCTATACATGGAGGTTAATCATAATTAGACTTTCCATATCCTCAAGAGCTTTGTCCTCTTTAAAGCAGCTAACGCATCATCCAATCATGCTGTCTTGGTTGCCCTCAGAGTCCATAGCCTATTTTGATGATTTAATAAAAGTAATCATTATATCAATATCTATCATTTATAGTACCTAATATTGCTAGGCACTATGCTAAACATGTTACAGAGATAAGATTCTTGGAAAGAGCCAGCCAATAAAACTTACTTGGAGCCAAATTTAAGGCTTAAAATGGAAACCAAACCAAAATAAAATAGGTGTGTCTAAAAACCAGTGAACTCAATCTCTTATACTAACACCTTACATTTATTTAACAATCAATGGTAACATATGCTACAAGCAAATACTGGATCTAATGCACAGATGAGGGACTTCCCTGGTGGTCCAGCGGGTAAGACTCCGTGCTCCCAATGCAGGGGGCCCAGGTTCGATCCCTGGTCAGGGAACTAGATCCCACATGCATGCTGCAAGTAAAAAGCCCATATGCCGCAACTAAAGATCCCACGTGCCTGAACTAAGACCCAGCACAGCAGAAAGGAAGTGGGGGGAGGGAGGAAGGAAAGAAGGATGGAAGAAAGATTTTAAAAATGCACAGATGAAAAAACTGAGGTTCTGTGAACTGCCCAAAGTCACAAAGCTCAAATGGAGGAGCTGACCCTTGATCATAAATCTTCCGACTCTTAAGTCTAATATTCTAACAGGTTACTGCTCTCTCATGTGGTTTATAACTTAAACCCTAAAGGAAATTTAAAAAAGAAAAGTACACAGCTTACCAAGATGTCTACTTTTAAATATATACTGACCTGAAGAATTAATGTTCTGATAGGTATATCAAAAGAATCAGTCCCATTAGTCACACCTATTGTGTGGCTTACAGATACTCAGCGTGTAACAGTATATGCTACAAAATATTAGAAACCAGGCTGACTTTAATATATGTTATCTGATTTTAGTATATGCCAGCATATATCTTAACATATGCTACTGTGGGAAAAAATGGTTCTAAAAGTAAGTTTTTGATCTACAAGCTCTGTTCCTTTCATTCTTTTTTTTTTTTTTTTTTTTTTTGTGCTACGCGGGCCTCTCACTGCTGCGACCTCTCCCGTTGCGGAGCACAGGCTCCGGACATGCAGGCCCAGCGACCACGGCTCATGGGCCCAGCCGCTCCGAGGCATGTGGGATCTTCTCGGACCAGGACACGAACCCGTGTCCCCTGCATTGGCAGGCGGACTCTCAACCACTGCGCCACCAGGGAAGCCCCTTTCATTCATTTTGGCTGCCAAATCTATACAAATTTTCTAAGTGTCATAACGCTTCTCTTTTTTACAGTCTGCCTTTAACTCTCCAAATGAAATGCTTCAAGAACTGCTCTTTGTTGAGTGCTAGTACAGCACAGGGATAACTTAACACCAAAAAAAACTTTCACGTAAGTTGACAAATAAACCCCTTCCTATGGAATAAAGTTTTCAGACTTCAGAAACAAATGAATGAATCTATTTAAGCAGACACATATAACACCAGCACACTTTGAAACTTGCAATCTTGCTGGGTTTAGTCTTTCTAGATGTCCTAAAAACAGAATGTCCCAAACACTATGTGCTTTCACGTTGGGAGTTTTCAAACTCTTTGAGTCCTAACTTATGGATCAAAGTCCACTCAATCCCATACATTAAAATATTATAGTGCTTTCTTCCAACCCTGCTTCAAAAACTACGTTAGAGGCCCATAATCATGGCACTACGTGGACCTTGTCATAGCACAGACAAGACCCAAGCCAGCACTTAGGCCCCACTGCCGCGGGGGCAAAGGAGAGTGAAGAACCACTGTCAGCCCCATCAGGCAGAATTCACCAAACGCTGGAGTCCCAGAGGTGATGGTAGCGCCATCTCCTGGGTCCGGTAACTGAGCTGGGCACAAACATCTCCAAACTGAGGACAGCTTAATTAAGAACAAAAAACAATCAGAAAGATAAAAACATTCCCCATGTTGTGTAACAGCCAAGGCCACGCTTCAAAAAATGGTCCTACAAGTTACCGACTGGCAGCATCTCTGCGAGGGCCAGTGTCCCGATTCTAAACCCTCGTATGTGGCCCCATTATGCTCCTCTACCGCCACAGGATGTGTGCACACAGTGGCCAACATAATGAACATGAGTCTTTGAGAGGCTGAAGATTGAGGAAGAAGCCTCAATTCCCTCATCTCTGAGTGGTGGCACTAGGGGCTGAAAACGGATCCCACATGTCCTCTCAGACCGTGGTGGGTCGATGCTCCCTCCACAGTGTGGGACACCCTAAATGTCAGGGCTGCGGGGACCTGGAAAGAGATCAGTCATTGGGACCCTTGAAACAGCATCTTCATCGCTAAAGGATGTAGCCACGAGGGTGCCGATGGACTACAGTTAGATAACGAACACTTCCAGATCAAAGTAAACAAAAAATGTTTTTAATTTTAAAAGTTTGCCCAATTCTGCTCTTGACGCCATTTTCTGCCTGTGACGTCAGGGGGAGGCGCCGTGCGGCAACGTCACGCATAGGTGACGTTTCGGGGGGGGACCCGGTTTCGGGGTTTCTTACCAGTTCCGGGTCCCCGCTGGGTGGGGGGGTCCCGGTTCCCTTCGTTCCTTTGGGTGTGTCGGGGGACGCGAAGCACGGCTCCCTTCCAGAGACTCAGCAGTAAGAGCCCCACTACAACTGGAGCTGCTCCTCTTCCCGCAAAATGGCGGCAACTCCGCTGTCTTCCAGCACCTTTCCCAATCTGCGCAGGCGCCGAAACATTCAGGTGGCGGAATTAATCTCACGGGTTTCGCGGCAACACTCCAAAGTACAGATTTTCATTGGCTAAAATCTGAGCATGGGTGGAGCCAAGCTCAAAGGTCTCTTAGCAACCAACAAGTTCCCATTGATTGGCTAATCTTTCCGAGATTCAGGGAAAGCAGAAGCGTCCTTAGGTAGCCGCCTATCGCTCTCTCATTGGTTAAATGACTTGCGGAAGGCGGGGCAACCGGGCAGAGCACTGGAGAAAAGGACCCTCCGACTCGCTCCCGGTTCTCATGTAGACTAGGCTAACACCGCGGAAGAGACTATTGACGTCCTTGGCCGTCCCCACTCAGATTTGCCGAGGACCTCACGTCAGGCTTCTCTGGGACAGCTTTCTGGAGAGCAACTGCATTTGCTTCCCGTGGGGAGGGATGCTGGGCTGCCCATCCCCATTGTGTCATACAACCCTCCCAACCGCTGCCTCGTTTCCTCGGCGCCTGGATCTCATGTGACTGTCACAGATTTGTCTTCTTCCGCATTCTGCCTGGTCCTACAGCTCATATACCTTCAGTTCAAATCAGTGCCCCACACACCTCCCACCGCAAGGGTAAACTTGAGGCAGTTTCTCAGGTGACTCTGGGTGCAGCAGTACTCAGCCCTCTAGCCAAAAAGAGAAGGAACTGATGTCCACCCTCATGTTGCAACGTCTTCCAGAACCCCCCGAGCCTTCAGCTGCCTAATACAGCTGCCAGAAAGATAGCTGGTTATAACATGGAGAGGGCCATGGAGTCACAGGAACCGTGTTGAATCCTGATTTGAATACTAACTTTATATCATTGTACCAATTCAAATTCCTCTTCTGTAAAATGTAGAATTGGACGAGATTATCTCTTAGGACTTCAAACTCTAATCCTATGATTTTATTCAAATAAAGTAAGTGGCTTCTTGCTGGTGAAGCCTGGATGACTTCCAGTTTCTCTCCCAAGAGGTAACAGAGGAGCTGGCAGTACAGTAGCTCAGGAAGGTGGAAGGGAAGCTGGCTTCACTCACTACCCTATCTTTCTCCATGGCAACAAACTCTATGCCTCCTCCCCCAGACAAGAGCCTAATCTCAGGTCCTAATGGACAAGACCTCTCTGTAGCTGGTCAGAAAGCCTATAATTGGGAGTCCAAGAGTCACCACTAAGCTTCTTAAATAGGAAATAAAGCTAGGCCCCTTCAAGTCTTGGATAAGAGCATAGATCTGAATATGTGTAAGTAATGGGTGGAGAAGCAGAGGCAGGGGGCAGCAGAGTTGGAGCAGGAAAGGCCATAACCTCACTTTATTTGTATTTCCTCCTTACACAAAATCATCAAAATAGGAACAGAGATGGGCAGAGAAAAGGGCTGAAAAGTTGTTCAATCCACATGTTCTCAGGGCTATCCCAGGGAGCACTTGAGGCTGAGTGCCTGTTGGAGTAGCCACAGATTCAACATGAATTCCTCATGCCCTGGCCTGAAGTCTTCACAGATTGGTGGCGTGAGCCCTGCAATTCTCATCCTTTGCCCATCTTGATGTAAGGCAGGAAAGTGGACTGAAATGCTCCTTTCTGATGGGCAAGGCAAATCAGAGCCCATGGTGTACTGCACCTTCTGTGCTACAGGAGCAGAACCTGAAGCTGCTTCCAAGGTTCTAGACACCTGCACGCAGGGCTAGAGGCCAATGGTGTAAGAGCGGCCTGTGGGGTTGTGAATAGCAGAACAGACTGGTGCTGTCACAGCCCACTCATACCACACCTTCTTGGAATTGCTGCATCGCCAGAAACGCACACAGATGGTCTGGCCTTCACGCACGGTAATGGGCTGCTGTAAGAAGAAAGACATGGAGGTTCAGGGTGGAGCTAATGAATTTTATGTGGCAATGTACTAAGCTAGGTGTGGAGATAAAATGATCAAATGACGTTCCAACCCTCATGAGGTTTATTTGAAGTCTATCAGAACAAATAATCAGAAATGAACAGACACTGAACAAATAATCAAAAGTGGGATGAACACTGTGAACAGGGATAGGGTGCTATGAAAACACCTATGAAAGTTAACACTAACCTAGTCTACAAGGTCAGGGAAAATTATCTGACAATAAGAATGTTTAATGAGACTTGGAAGATAAGTCAGCTGAGTCAAGAAATGAGCCAAGAACTTTACAGGCAGAGGACAAAGGTGTGAAACCGCGAGGCAGGAAAGAACATGGGGCATTAGAGGAACCAAAAGAAGGTCCATAGGACTGAAGCAATGTAATCAAAGGACAGTGGCTGAAAAGGCAGGCAAAAACTAGATCACACCAAGTCTAACAAAGATTTAAGACCTTATTGTAGGGCAGTGGAAAAATATTGAAGGGTTTTAAAAGCAGGAGAGAGATAGGATCAGATTCATGTTTTTAAAAGATGACTCTTGCTCCAGGTAGAGAATGGACAGAAGAATAGCCAGAGTAGGCGTGGGAAGCCAGGCAGAAGGCCCCTGCAGATATCCCAACATCTACAACAGGATCCAAGAGCACGTGAGAGCAGTAGAACATGGGTCACAGACAAGCATCATCCTGGGAGAAGGGAAGGGGCAGAACACCAATGACAATAGTTACTCTTTAACCCAAGGAGCCTTAAAGGTGATTCCTACCTTAATGGGGAAGAGGATGGGAAACCATGAAAACATCCCAGGA